TAGTCTCTTCCATCATTCCACATAGTGTTTGGGTCTCTAGGATGCTCCACTAAAAACCCTGTGGCCTTTCCAGGTCGCGCGAACTTGCTCACCATGTACAGCAAGAACATCTTCGCAATCAACTCCGTGTCTCCATCCACACGTTCCCTTTGGGTTTCAGTGAGCTCCGCTATCCCGTAAGGACTTTCTCCCGTACGCACAGGACCTTCACGACCTGGAACTTCCCTCCACCTCATCACAGAAAACGTTCGACACGGTGGCCCTCCAAGAAGGTCTTCCAACCTTCCAGTAGCTGCCGCCCACACGAGGACCTTGTAGATGCCGTCCTTGGTCACGTCGTACGCCTTGCTCTTCTCGATGTCGACATTGAGGAGCACACGCTCGTCGTTCACGCTTTCCCCAATCGTTGCCAACGGGTCATCCTGGAAACCCTTTCCGGAGAACAAGTTCACGACCCACCTTTTTGACTTGTGCATCTTCCTTCTTTCACGTCTCGTCAACGGGAGGTTCTTCATGTAGTTCCAGCCGGCCTCGTCGGTGAACTCCAGCTCCGTGAACAACTTGTCCTTGACCTTGCCAGGGAGGTCCTTGAACATTGGCGCCGTTTCGATAGCTTTTGCCAGCGCGGCCCAGTCCTTTACCTCCACCAATCTCCTCAAAGATGTAGTCCACGGCTCCGCTTCACGGTCGTTCACCGCATCGATCTTTGCCTTCAAGGCCTTCACCTCCACGTACAGCTCTCGACGCTTCTTCTCCTCAATGTGGTTGATAATTCTTTTCGCTTCTTCCTTTGCGACTTCAGGACATCCCCCTCGCAGCGTAGTTCTCATTTTTCCAAACTCCGGGTGCTTAATGGCCAGCTTCTTCCCTGTCCATGTCACCTTCCACCCATGGTTCACGAGCTCGCACATGGGGATTATAGTTTGTGTCCTGGTGTCGCTGCCGGCGATGATCGTGCCCACGTCATTCTGCATGAGCTCCTTCTTTGTGTCCCCCGCCAACACCACAGAAACTGGAACGGCATCTCGCCGCTCCTTCTCATCCCGCGGTGGCCTGAGGATGTTGGTTGCCCCTGAATCTATAAGTGCATCTTGTTCTTCAGCTCCAATTGTCAGAGGCTCTGCTGCACACACCCTCACCGCCTTCAGCCTCCACTCATCTAGCTGGCGTTGCAAGGACTCCACTGCGCCTTGAGAGGTTCCATTCGAGGAGGTAGTCGACGAGGAGGTCTTTGCTGCCATTAACGTCTTGATCGCCTTCGTGGCCTCCCCAAGCATCTCCTTCAAGTCCTGCTGTTCCTGTTCCTGAGGCTCGCCTTTTGTTGACGGTGAGGTCGGTTGTGGCTCTGGCTCCGGACTCATAGACTTTGCGGTCGGCTCCTCAGTGTGCCCGTTTCCTTTCCCCTTCGAAGGTGACTTTGGCCCAGGTCTCTCCTTCTGCTCATTCGACTTCACCTCCGCGCTCTTCGTGGGGCAGTCCTTGGCGAAGTGACCCTTTGCCGAACACACCAGGCATCGACCCTTCTTTTGCGTTTCGCCCCACTCGTGGGCCCATTTGCACGACTCCCCTTTGATGCACCCCTCGTCCTTCTTCGCAAACCACTTGCAGGCCCCCTTCGCCGTTGGCTGCTTTCCTTTGGATCCTCCCTTGGGGTTCTGATTGGCGGCCTCCGAAGTTGTAGCCACGCTTCTCGCCTTTGGATTCTTTTCCGAAGACCCACTCGACGATGAAGTCGCCAATGTTTCCATCTCGGCTTGCAAGTGCTCATGGAAGCTGAGGGTCTTTTCTAAAGTAGGCCCTGCATCTAGCTGCAAAGTACTTCTCATCAGTGAGGTGCGGAAGGAAATTTGGGGATGCTTTTGAAGTAGCCCATCAACTATCACTCCCAAGCCTTTCGTCAAAAGAACGGGGTCAGGGGTAGCAACATCGATGTCTCGGGCTCTGCCAAACCAACGCCCCCAACGACGTAACTCCTCCACCGCTTCAGTTGGTGACGTTGCCGGACTTGGTGAAGTGAGTTGTCTCAACAACAGGGTTTTCTCCGCTTCACCACCAGGCCTATACATGGTGAGCAAGCGGTAGACCATCAACATCGTCGAGGAGGTTGCCTTTCTTGTAACCATCTCCGTTCTCACTTCCTCGCCCAGCGCCGCCAAAACCATGCTAGCCGCTCTTGCGTTCACTCGAGAGTAGCGACCCTCCTCCAGGACCGCGGACTTCGTTGGCTTGAGGGCCAGCTTTTCCATTGGCGAAGCCGTCACCCACCTCTGGTAGTACTCCTCGGCAGCCTTTTTGGTTTGCATCCACCACTCTGCTGACGAATCACTGAGGTCGCCCATCACTGCGCCCACCACCTCCAACCAGTCCTGGATGTCAATCGGGCTCGTGTCCTTTCCTGGCAGTGGCAAACTTGGCAAAGTTGTCGTCCCTGGCTTCACAACTTCAGGTCCCTCAGGCTTCTTTTCCATCTGCTTCAGCTGAACATCCTGAAGTTGCTTGATCCCAATTGCCAAGGCCCCCAAGATGTCACCCTGACTCGGACCCGTTGACGTTGAGGCCCTCGCAGCTCCACCACCAGCATCGACTCCGATCATCTGCGGACCAAACGATCGTGGCGCCCCCTCCGGATAGGGCTGCTCTTCTCTTCCTTCCCGAACTCCCCTTTGAGGATTCGGAGTCCTTCTTGAAGGGTCTGGCTGACCATGCCCTTGAGAGACACCAGCGGGTTGTGGTAGAGGATCCTGAACACTCCCTTGAGGAACACCCCCGTGCTGAGGTAGAGAAGCCTGATCACTCCCTTGAGGAACACCAGCGTGCTGAGATAGATGAGCCTGGACACTCCCTTGAGGAACACCAGCGTGCTGAGATAGATGAGCCTGGACACTCCCTTGAGGAACACCAGCGTGCTGAGGTAGATGAGCTTGGACACTCCCTTGAGGAACACCAGCGTGCTGAGGTAGATGAGCTTGGACACTCCCTTGAGGAACACCAGCGTGCTGAGGTAGAGGAGCCTGATCTCGTGCTACCCTTAGCTCGTCCCTCTGTCTTGTCACCTGCGTCAACTGCTCCCTCAAGCTTCTCAACTCATCCCTCTGCCCCGCCATGAATTCCTGGACTTGCCGACGCACCTCCGCCTGAATCTCCGAACTTCCCGTTGAGCTCATCGAACTTCCACCTCCTCTCATCGGGCCATAAATCAAAGGTGCCCTACGCTGGGTTTCCCTCAACCGTTGAAGATCACCCCGGCTAAACAGTGGCGACTGAGGGGCCACATCCGACAGCTCCTGCACAGGTGGTGGTGAGAACCTCCATGAGTCCGGAATCTGCAGCTCTTCAGGGGGCGAAAACTCTCCCGGCTGCATGTGTGGAGCACCATTTTGTCTCGCGGCTGCTGCGTAGTGCTGTGATGTCATCTGTGCTTGCTGATGCTGAAGGTGAGCTGGAGTGAACCCTAAACCACCCCAAACCCTACCCTGGAACCCACCTGCCGCGTCCGTTGTAGTTCTCAGCATTTCCGCAAAAAAGCGTCAACCACCGAACCACAGTTGGCGATCCACCTCCAGCTTGAACTTGGGCCACCATGCCCTGTTCCACGCCTTGGCGCCACCCACCATCAGCCTCTTGCATCGACGGCGGCTCTTGCACAGACACAGGTAGCGGAGCTTCCAAACCACCATTGGCAACCACTTGATCTTCGCCCAGCAAAAACGCCGATCCAGCTGCAGGCTCCACCATTCCAGTCGCTAACGATGACGCGCCATCACGGCCTTCATCACTCGCCTGCGGCCACTGAACCACTGGCAGAGCTCCGCTCATCACTGGAGCTTCGGTTGCACCATACGAGGGGCCATTTGCCTCTCCTTCCAGCAAGGAACTTCTTCTTCCGGAGGTTGGCGGCTGCCCCACTGTGGCTTGCCCAGCTTGAGCGCTTGGGCTCATCACCTGTTGAGCATCGGAGCCCAGGGATGAGGATTCTGTGTGTCTGGGGCGCTGTTCCATGGCTTACAAACTGCACGGGCGCGATTCTTTTTCCAACAACACAAGCACGTATACGGTTCCTTTACAGCAGTGCTTTGACAGCTTCGTAGACTTTTGGCTTTACATGCTACGATACTGCGTTGCTTCGTGGTTTTCTGGGCCTTCACGGCCGTCTTTGGCATCGGTGCTCCACACCTTGCCGTCTTGAGCCAAACACATCGCGGCGGCACATCCTTTCCAAACCTTCACATTCTGAACATCCACAGGGGTTTAGGGGGTTTAGGGTTTAGGGTTTGGGGTTTGGGGTTTGGGAGCTTGGGGAGTTTAGGGCCTTAGGCCTTTAAGCCTTAAAGCCGTTTACGGGGCATGCTGCTCACATGTGGCAAACGCACAGCCGAGCTGCTACAGGCCGTGCCCGCGGTCGACTTCGGAAACAAGTGGAAGAGACACGCAGCTAGCATTCACCATTCAGAAAGCGACGATTCGCATTATTTACAATTTTTACGCACATAAAATTTGACTTGCTGAAGAAAGACATTGCCGTACATGCTCAGCATGTCATGTCTATCGGCATTTACGAGGGTTGTCATAGGGAAAAAGAAAAACCTAGATCATGGGGGGGGGGGGGGGTGACCATATTATGTGTGTATATGTACATATATATATATATGTATATACACCCCCCGCCTTTCACAATCATACTATATATATATATATATGCTTGTTTCTGAGCTAGTGCTGTGAAGGCTTTGGGTTTGGATTAGGAAGTTTAGGATAGTTGTGGATGCTCCTCGTCACGCTCCTCCTCATGCTCCTGCTCATGCTTTTGAACCTCCTCGTCCTCCGTCCTCATCCTCCTCCTCCTCATCATTATCCGCATTCTCCTCCTCATCACAACCGCCCGTAGGAAGCTAAATGAGAACCTAAACAAGCATGAAGGCTCACGGCCGTGCTGGTCATAAGAGGAACGCAGATGCCTCTTAACCTCCTACACTCTGCAAGGCGGAACGGGCCCGGGGATCCTTCGCAAAGGCCACGCGGTAGACCCCGTCGTTGATGTTGGGGTAGATCAACGTGTTCAATTCCTAGCTTTTGCACAGCGCTCTCTCTCTCCAGCAAGTTGGGGCGCTTAAGGGAGGCTTAAAGCGGGGCCTCAGGGGGGGGGGGTGTTAAAGGGGGCTTAAGGGGGGGCTTTGAGATCGAGTTGCGTCAATCTGGGCCCGGAGCTCCTTCGGGTAGAGGTCAAGACTCTTCCCCTCCTTTTCAGGGAGCGTCACAGGGAGCCCAACACCCCCTTCATTAAGAAACGCACTAAACGGACTAGGGCTCCTGAGCTTTTTCCTGCATTCTGAAGGCTTGGGAGTGCTTGGGGGGATGTTCTGTGCTAGTGTGGTATCGTAGTATCTGTAATCTTTTCTTAAAACTGCCTTGAAGTGGAGGGGATGAGGATTTGTTGCTCCCCCTCTGTCCTCATCGAGCAGATCGTCCAAGCACGAGTTCAGGATGTAGCCAATCTGGATGTTGTCGTTGCTGACGATCTTGCGAGTCTTCTTATCGAAGAGGATGGGTACGCTGAGCTGCCTGCGGCCATAGTCAGGCGAGTCCGTTAGATAGATGTCGCGTGTGTGCTTGGCATTGAGGACAGGATCCGGATTTTCAGCATCGAAGGCCCAGCCCGAGTAGTCGTCAGAGCCCAGGCCGCCACCCCAGAAGTAGTTCGCCGTGGCCGAGACAGAGACGACGCTCGCTGGGATGCGCTTGAGAGCGTGGACCACCAGCACACGGTGGCACCAGCCGCAGGTGTAGTTAATGTAGAGGTGGTATCGGTCCGGCTCGGGCGGGAAGGCCGAGGCCGGGGCGATCCAGTTCTGGAAGTTCGAAGCCCCACGCTTGAAGGCCCCAGCCTCTCGGGATAGCGAGTCCCTTGAGAAGGGCCTCCTCTGAGCCGGCACCACCCCTGCTATTTCGAGACATAGTACTGACTATCATGCTCATGTTTCTGTCTGGAGATGGGGCTGCGATTATGACTAGGATTACCATTGCCACTACCCGTTAACTGCGGTCGTAACCTTCTTTCGTGCGCTTAGAACCCTACTTTTCTCGCCTCTGTTGGGGCCAGTGCCGGGTCGCCCGCGCCACCTGCGAAGGCTTTGGCTTCGGCCATGGCGGCTTCGGCTGCCGACGAGAGGCAGCTTGGGCCCACGCCGAATCGGGCTTAGGAAAGTTTAGGGTTTCGGGTTTCGAACCCCCCAAGTTTAGGCTTCAGGGTCCTTGGTGAAGCCCTTAAGCTCCTGAACTCTAAATCCTCGAGCCCCTTTTAGCCCCAGAACCCCTGAAACCTTGAAGCCAAAACTTCCCTCCAACCCCCCCAAAGTCGACAAGCCCCACGATACCAGAAGAACCCGAAGTGAGGGGGATGAGACTTTGGCAAGGCAGCGATTCCCACCGCCCGTGCCAACCGCACAGTGCCTGGCGCCTCATTGCCGGATGATAGAAGGTTTATGGGGGGAGGGGTCCTAAACCCTCAAGTCCCTAAACCCCTACACCCCTAAACCCCTAAACCCCTAAACCCTTAACCCTAAACCCTAAACCCCTACACCCTTGAAGGGGAGTAACCGGCCGAGCTGCGCGTGAGCAAGGGACCGCACCGAGCCGCGAAACGGTTCAGAGCCTCTGGGTCGGGTGGGCTGCGGAGCCTGTGGGTAGTTCTCTAAATGAGGGACCTTCTGGAATTTTTGTTTGGGGGGGGTCCTTAATATAAAGCGTCGTACTAAAAAAATAGACCCCAAAAGGGAGCCTGGTTTGGAGAACTGCAACTACCCATGCTGCTTGCAACAAAGGCAGCCCAGTAGTACCCAAGGCCACCCAACCCTGCACTCTGAAACCTCCCGGCCCTAAACCCTAGACCCTCTCAACCCCTAAACCAGAAAAAGCCTCTCAAACCCTACCCCTGTACCCGTGGCTTAAGCCCTAAACCCTAAACTCTAAACCCTAAACCCTAGATGGGATGCCTCCACCACTGGCTCGCACAGGTCCAGCTTGAGATCGCTACGGTTATCAGCCTGTTGTGGCTTGGGAACCGTCATCTGGGTTTAGGGTTTAGGGTTTAGGGTTTAGGGTTTAGGGTTTAGGGTTTAGGGTTTAGGGTTTAGGGTTTAGGGTTTAGGGTTTAGGGTTTAGGGTTTAGGGTTTAGGGTTAGGGTTTAGGGTTCAGGGTTCAGGATTTAAAGAAATAAGGGTAAATACTTATGCCTTACGGTTTCCTTCTCTAGCAGCCACATTTCAAGTTGGGGGGGAGAGTCGGTTTTGAAGGTCATTCTTGGACCCTCAACCCTCAACTCTATACCCCTAAACCCTAAACCCTATACCCTGGACTCGGACCCTGAACCCGCAACTCAAGCTCCAGGCTACACCCAAATGCCCTGGTTACACGGGCCCTTGGTATGGGAGCCCTTCGCTGAGGAGCCTAAAGTATGTTTCAGAAAAGGGCCCACAATTCACCACCATTCCAGGCAGGTAAGGGGCAAAAATTAAGGGACCCTGCAACTACCCTGTAAACTCTCAGTCCAAGCACCGTAAAGCCCTGAATCCTAAACCATGTAACTGGGTTGGGGCCCCACGAAGACTTCAATTTCTGTGGGTTAGTAGGGCTTAAAATTGTTCACCAATCTAGCCCCCGACAGCCTGACTCCTAAACCGTGAAGATGCCTCCTGGATGTTTCCGAAGAGGTCGAGACGATTCTGCCGATGAGCCTGCCCAGGGTAAAATTATCCCAGCCTCTGTAGGGTTTGAAGACTTTGTAGGGCGCGTAGGGCGTTTAAGTTTAGTGCTCAAGGAATAAGGGTTGCACAAATTTGTTGGTCTGCTTCAAGAAAAACAGGGCGCTGAGCGAGGAGGGTCGTTGAAATTGACAGGGGCTTGTGAAGCTTGAGGCCCAGGCTATTGTAAAACAGGAACTCTGTTGTTCGATGCTCGGGTATCGGAAGCTGATACGAGCGCTAAACCCTAAACCCTAAACCCTAACCCCCAAAAACATAAGACAAGCGGTTCTAAACCCTAAACCCTCAGCACTTTGAGCGGTCAAAGCAGCGCAGCCTCGTCTGTGCACAGTAGCACGTGCTCTCGGAGTGCCTGCGCTCTGCTGGTGCTCATGCGGATTCACAGATCTTTTTGGTTTAGGGTTTAGGGTTTAGGGTTTAGGGTTTAGGGTTTAGGGTTTAGGGTTTAGGGTTTAGGGTTTAGGGTTTAGGGTTAGGGTTTAGGGTTTAGGGTGCTTTTTGCCCCCCCTACCCCCCGCCGCCCCCGCCCCGGCGGGTCAGGCTGTGTAGGGTTCAGGGTTCCCGAAACCCCAAATCCCAAACCCTAAACCCTAAACCCTGAACCCCAAACGCTTTGCGGGTTTCGCCAACCTTACAAAGACAGAGAGGACTGCGTAGGCCTCGCACAACTCGGGGTCCAGGACGCCCTTGATCACGATGTAACCTGTTTTGCCGTGAGAGCCCCGAGACCCTAAACCCTAACCCTAAGACTCTAAGGCCTCTTATCTTAGGGTTTTTGGGGTCAAAAGGCCTTCTCATATAAGCTTTTTTGGGCTGTTTTGAGCCTAAGGGTGAGTGCCTAACTGGGAAAATGAAGAACCCTAAGCCCCAACTTTGTGAGAGAGAGAGAGAGAAAAAAAAAAAGAAGAAGAAGAAGAAGAAGAAAAACGATTGAAGCGCCAAATCCTTCTGAAGCAGCCCGGCTAGGAATCCTCCCAGAGAGCACCTTCCCTCAACTAAGAAACTCTGGGTTTTCAGGACTTAGCGATTTAGGGTTTTATGGGTTTCGGGGGCTGGGTGTCGAGGCGGACCTCGTTCAAGGTTCCGTGAATAGTGGGCACCGGGCTCGGGGATCAAAGGCCATGAGCACAACAGGACATAAACTTCACGACTCAGCACCCCAAAATACCTAAAACCTTTTTGAACCCGAGCGGGACACGAAGAGGCCTAGATCCCCAAAGCCCTCCATCCTTTGCCTCCGCGAAAACTCTGCCAGCACGCCCTCTCTCCTCAGCCTAAGCCTCGCAGCCCTACAGCCCTGAAGCGGGTTTAGGGTTTAGGGTTTAGGGTTTCGGGTTTAGGGTTTAGGGTTTAGGGTTTAGGGTTTAGGGTTTCAAACCCAACCGTTTGAGCCCCCAGCGCCTGAGCCCCCAAACCCTCAAACCCGAAAACGCTGGAGCCCCGAACATGGCCACAACAGTCCCCATACAAGGCACCCAAGAACAAGGACCTACAGCATGTCGGTATCGCTTCTACCGCTTTCTACCCCTTGATAGTTAGAATCCACACTGCCCCGAAACCCTAAACCCTAAACTTCAAAACCCCATCTTAAAACCCTACACCCTTCCCCCCAGCCTTGTTCCTTCAGTTGCTCAAGATCGGCCTCAGACGCCTTGCAACAAGGAAAATACATTTACAAACGAGGGAGGGAGGGAGAGGGAGAGAGAGGGAGAGATAAAAAAACATGTGTAATGGTGAGTGGGAAAGGGCGAAGGGAGGGGAGGCAAAGGGGGGCATGGAGTATAAGGTTTAGGGTCCGCGGGCTGCCAGTTGCAATTCAGGAGCTGTTTTAAAATTTAGGAATTAGAGCCAAGGACTTTCCGGGGCAAGGGGTCAGAGCTCCGAGTCTCGAGTTCCGGTGGCGTAAAGTCGACGGCCATCAAAGTCGAGGGTAGTATGGGCATTTCCCCTAGTAGAGATGCCCCAAATCGGCCCCCAAATACGCTAATCACCATAGGAGGTACGACACTCTTCTCTGAAATCAATTTTGTTTGACCATGTCCCACCTAAACCCAAAACCCGACCCGAAGCCCTAAACCCCATAATATGGGGGTTTTAGGGCTCAGGGTCAGGTTTTTATTCTAGTGCCGTATCGTTTTTACCAATCCCAACTGAACCCAAGGCTTTGTGTTGCGGCACGCTGCGGACCTCAGAGGAGGGCGCCATCGCGCCTGGCGGTTCAAGGGCTTTATGGGGTTATCTGCACCATTGTTGGGGGTACCATTAAAGATGATCATTTTTGTTCGATATTGGGTTTAAGAATTCATAAGAATGTTAAATAACTTTCAACAATGACCCAGTTCTAGGGGGTGTCGGAAGGCTTAGGGTTGTGGAGGGTTAAGAGTGCTCCAGGGTATAGGGTCTTGGGATTGTGGAGCTTAAGGGTGTTAGGGTTTAGTGGGTTGGAGGGGTTAAGGCTCTATGGGGTCTGTAGGGGTTTATTCTAGGGTTTAGGGTAGGCATTTAGGGCTTTAGGGTTCTCGAGTTCAAGGGTCAGAGGGTTTGGCGTTAGAGGGCTGTACAGAGATGGTTCGAGATGTTTAGGAAAATAAGGGGCCCTTGATATAGACCCCCGTCAATGGTGGTCACTATTCTTGTCAACACCCAGCACAACACTACTCGCAGCTCGCACGCTCTCAGACAAGTAACAGCATCGACACCAATTGAGAGTGATCTGGCGCCCTAGCCACAATATTTGGGTTTGGGGTTTAGGGTTTAGGGTTTAGGGTTTAGGGTTTAGGGTTTAGGGTTTAGGGTTTAGGGTCAGACATCTGCATGGTACCATGACGGCACTCGGCCCACACCCTCCCTTCAAGCCAAGGGGCTACTATCGCGCTCGTTGCCAGCAAGATAGTAGGATCCCCTTATATTAAGGACCCCCATAAGGTACCCCGAATTTTCGGAAACCCCCATATAAAGTCCAAAAGCGCTCCCGGCTCTTATATCGAGCAACTTTTGGCCGCCAGCCAGAACCCTATGCCACAACGCCTCCAAAGCCGTGCCCAGAAAACAGCCCTGGTAGTGCCACTGATGCCTATAAGGGTTCTTAGGGTTTTTGGGACTAGGGCTCGGGGGTTCAGAGTTTCAGGCTTCGGCTTAGGCTGGCTTAGGGTTCCCAGACCGTAAACCCAAACTTAGGGTTTAGGGTTTAGGGTTTAGGGTTTAGGGTTTAGGGTTTAGGGTCTGGACCATGGGGGCTTTGGGAGGTGGCTTGCGCTCCGCGAGCTTACTGGTTCTATCAAGTAGGGCACTCGTTTCGTCTAATTGGGGTCGGGTCACACAAGTTTCTTTTCGGACCCTAAGGACCCTAAGGCCACCTACGAATTGAATCCACTGTTTGGGCTC